AGTGTCTACCGACAGATGAATGGGAAAAAAAGTTGTGTTATGTCTGTGTACACACACACACACACACACACACACTGGAATGTCTCTTAGCCATAAAAAAATAATGAAATCTTGCCATTTGCGACAACACAGATAAACCCAGGGAGTATTATGCTAAGTAAAATAAGTCTGAAAGAATGATAAATACCATATGATTTCACTTATATACGGAGTCTAAAAAAACAAAACAGAAGTAGAGGACAAACAGGTGGTTGCCAGAGGGAGAGGGACGGGGGATGAGTGAAACACATGAAGGGGATTAAGAGGTGCAAACTTCCAGCTATAAAATAACTAAGTCATGGGGATGAAAAGTACAGCATAGAAGGGGCACCTGGGTAGCTCAGTCGGTTAAGCATCTGCCTGGCACTCGGAGTGTGATCCCGGGTTCTGGGATTGAGCTTTGCATGGGGCTCCCCACTAAGTGAGAAGTCTGCCTCTCCCTCTCTCTCTGACCCTCGCCGCTGCTCCTGCTCTCACTCGTGCTCTCTAATGAGTAATTTTAAAAACCTTAAAAAAAAAAAAAAGTACAGCATAGGGAAGATAATCGATAATATTATAATAACTTCAGTGACAAATGGTGACCAGAGCCATCGCGGTGATCATCTCATAATATATAAGAATATCAAATCACTATCTTACACACCCTGCCACTATTGTAACATGTATTCCAATTAAAATTTAATTTTAAAAAAGAAAAAACAGGGGTGCCTGGGTGGCTCAGTCATTAGACATCTGCCTTTGGCTCAGGTCATAATCCCAGGGTCCTGGGATCGACCCCCCACATCGGGCTCCCTGCTCCATGGGAAGCCTGTCTCTCTCTCTGCCACCCCCCCAGCTTGTGTTCCCTCTCTCACTGTCTCTGTCAAATATCAAATAAATAAATAAATCTTAAAAAAAAATAAAAAGAACAGACATTTATAAATCTCAAAGATACATGGAAATTAAATGGCACTCCTAAATAATGAATAGGTCAAAGAGGATATCGAATCAGGAAACAACACTGAGATGATCAAGAGGAAACACGACATGCAAACACAGGTGGGATGCCATGAGAACAGGTCCACAAAGCTGTAAATGTAAATGCCTGTGTGAGACACAGAAAGATCTCCCATCGGTAGCCTACTCCTCTAACCCAAGAAACCAGAGAAAACAGAAGCAAACCAAGTGCACACCAAGCAGAAGGACAAAAAGTAAAAATTAAACAAAAAACAGAATATAGAAATCAAAAAACTGACAAACTTTTAGCTAAACTCACCAAGGAAAAAGAGGTAAGATTCAAACAGCTAAAATCAAGAGTGGAAAATGGAACATTTCCACTCATCTTACAAAAAGGTGTTTTGTTTTTTTTTAATTCTCAGGGATACTGTGAACAAGTAATTATTTCCAACAAATCAGAGAACTTTGATGAAATGGAAAACTTCCGAGGACACATACCACTGAAAGGCATTCACAAAGCAACAGAACATAGTCACATGCCTGTTGCAAGCAAAGCAACTGAATCGGTAATACAAAAACTTCCCACCCAAAGGCCAGAATTAAAGGGCTTCACCAGTGAATTCTATCAAACATTAAGAAAAACTAACACCAATACTTCCAAAATCCTCCAAAAAACAGAGGAGGCAGGGACACTTCCCAGCTCGTTCTGTGACGCCACTATTATTCTGATTCCAAAACCAAAGACATCAGAGAAATGGCCCTCCATAAGGTCTCTGAATACAAACCCTAATCTCTTCATCAAGGTTCCAGCAGACCAGCTCCACGAGCACATGAAAAAGGATTATGCAGTATGACTGAGTGGAATGTATCCCAAGAACACAAGAGTGGTTCAGGGTATGAAAACCCAACCACGTAAGTCAGCGCATTCCTGGAACGAAGGGGAGAGAGAACACATGGTCATCCCCACTGAGGGACGGACCATGGCCGCAGGGCAGGTTCGGGGGGGGGAGACGGGCTTGGTGGGCTGGTTGTCGGGGAGTCGAAGAGAAGGATGGATCTCAAGGAAGAGGGGGACCCAGGGTGGTGTCCTGAGCGGACAGCCATACCTCTCATTACCATCAGGAACAGGGGCGAGGACGGAAGTCAGCATACGCGTCCCAGAAACCACTGATGCGCAGAATTCCAGGAGGAGATCTATCTGTGCTCTCATCACTTGCTCATTATTTATAAATGAAATGAAAAATTCAAATTATTTTATCTCAGTCACATTTCATGTTAGTTGGAAGAAAAATCTTAATAAGCAAAGCTGAATAAAAACAGAATTAAAGCTTTGTAACCCCCTTTCTCAACGTTGTCAGCCCATTAACCCATGTGACTTCTATCTGCCATATGAATTTTACATAAGAGATTTTATCCATTCTTCTGAGTTTATAGAAGCTCAACCCCAGAGGCAACACTCAAAGTTCCTGACTAAAGCTCTGGTTCCAACTGTCTGTTAAGCCACACTCTTTGGAAAGCCAATGCATCTTAACCACTCCGCAGGACTGTGGCCATAGGGAATATGGACGTCATCGGGGGTCCTCCAGTGAGGTTTGGACAGATGGGCCTTACTCACCCCCAGACTCAGTGGCAGAGGGAAGGGTGGCCGACCTGTGAGGCCCTAGCATTAGGCAGATTCTTTTTTTTTCCAGCTTTACTAATGGATGATCGACCAACCAAAATTGCATATATTTAGGTCACACGATTTGTTTTTTTAAGGTGCATGACAAGATGGCTTAATGCACATATACACTGTGAAATGCTCACTACAATGGACAGGAGAACCCTCTTTCTCTTTTGGTGAGAACACTCATGGTCTACTCAGTCAGCAACTCCAAGTATACGCTACAGTACCGTGAACTGTAATTCCCAGGCTGCGCGTTAGAGCCCCGGAACCTACCCAGCTCAGAGTCTGTACCTCTTGACTATCACCTCCCCATTCGCCCAACTCCCGGGCAACCATCGTTCTACCCTTTGGTTCTGTGAATTCACCTATTTTAGATTTGACACATATGTGAGATCATACAGTATGAGTCTTTCTGCGTCTAGCTTATTTCACTTAGGATAACGTCTTCCGGATTCATCCATGCTGCCAACAGCAGGCTTTCCTCCTTTGTTAGGGCTGAATAACATTCCTGTGAGAGAGAGAGGGAGATCTGGATCCACGCATCTATGGACACTTGGGATATCTACTGTAAACGAATCTGCGATGAACACGTGCAGATCTCTCTCCGCCTTGCTGACTTCAGTTCCTCTGGATACATTTCCAGAAGTGAGATTGCTGGATCACGTGGTAATTCTATCTACTTTCTTGAGGAACCTCCATCCTGTTCTCCATAGTGGTCGCAGCAGTTGGCATTCCCACCAACAGGGCACAAGGGTCCCTTTTCTCTACATCCTCGCCAACCCTGGTTATCTCGTCCTGCTGAGGACAGCCGTTCCCACCACACGCGAGCTGAGCGCTCCCTGCGGTTGGGACTTGCAGGTCCCTGACGGTTAGAGACACTGAGCACCTTTTCACGCACCTGCTGTCGTCTGTACGCCTCCTTCGGGAACACGTCTGTTCAGCTCTCCGGCCTGTTTTTAATCAGGCCACTGGGGAGATTCGTAACGCCTCACTGACCCCCCACCCCCAAAGCAAAGACACTCGAATGGGCACCATCGGTTGAGATGCGATTACGTGGCACTCCCCACCTCAGACCTGCTTTCCCGAAGCGGGGAGACGACAGATGCGGCCCCGAGGCCCGTGCCAGGACTGAAGCGCTGCGGGCCCGGCGCAGCCGGCTGCGGGTGAGGAGACACGACGACGCCCGCTTCTCCTTGTACGACGGCCGCCGCCAGGCTCACCGGGGCTGGGTTTCCTCGGCTTCAGCTCACGCCGCTCCCAGTAACCAGCAGAGCTTCGCCTAACTCCAACAACTTAATCCTCAGTCAGGTGTATTTCTCTGCGCTCCCTCGGAACGGCCAGAGGGACTCATGAACCAAACCTTGTCTGTCTGGAGTCGCTCCTCGCTAAGGACGTCGGACAGAGGATCAATAACGCGGCTGCTGGGAAGCGCCAGTCTGAATCCGCCCAGGAATGAGCACTCGGTCACCCGTGCGGCTGACGGGTCCTGCCACGGAACAGACCATCCTTCTGCGCAGGGGCCTGGCGGGGGTCCCTCGCTATATAAGAACGGTTTTGTGGGGGCTTTTTGGAACTGCCACGTGCAGCTACGCTTCGTCTACTCCGTATTCTCTTGGTCTACGGGGACCTCATTACAGCGCCTCGGCGGCGTCTCGAGGCCAGCCGCCCTCCGCGCAGGGGCCGTCCAGCGGGACACATCTGGACGCGGCGGACAAGACGGATCTCAGTCCGCACGCTGCCTGCGGACCCGGAGGAGTCTGTGCGGATCAAAGGTTTACACGCTCATTCAGGAACGCTGCGCCTCGGGTTGTGTATCCTTACACATTCATCACGCATATTAGAAGAGCTCCCCTTTACTGTCTTCCGGGCTGGGCGTCATCTGGTGCCACAGGCACATCGCGCCTGTGACAGGCACATTCATCTTCATTTGTCAGGTACGCACGGGGAGGCTCAGAGAAGTCACGTGCTGTGCTTCTGGGAACACAGCGCGCGGGTCCCAGAGCCGGGTGAGAGCCACACTCGTCTGAGGACAAGCTCGTGCTCCGTACACTGTGGGAGGCTACCCCTCCTCTCATGCACTCCCTCCTTCCTTCACGCGTTCCCTCCTCCTCCTACAGCCAGGCGCTGGAGAAGCTCCCACAGGGGCCGGGTGCGGTGCGCTCACACACACACTCCTATCTGAACGGGCCTAGAGCTGGACAAGGACTAACTGTGGGAAACGGGAGCGCTCTGGGCTTCAGGGCCCACCAAACACAAACCTAGTGTCAAAGTACGTGTGAGCAAATCACCACCATCGCCACCAACGGGCACGTCCGTGGCCGTGGCCTCCCCCCCCCTCGGGAACCCCAAGGCCCCTTACCATCTCCGCTTTTGCTTGGGTTGGTGGGTTCAGGTGTACTCAGAGGTCTGAGGGGAATGATGATTTCATCGACATTAACCCCTTCTTCTGTGTGCTTCTCAGAAACGTGGGACAGTAGCTCTGACTGGTTGGGTGAGAAAAGGTTACAACATTTGCACATGAAGATGGCTGTGTTTTCTGTAAGGAAAAAAAAAAGCAAACTATGTTATTTCAACCTAACAAAAACAATGATTGCTTCCAATCACCGAAGAAAAATACTGAAGGCTGCCCTTCTGAGCTGTGGCCAGCCTCCAACAGACTGTCCCTCTCGTGGACACCTCCAGACCAGGCAGCTCACTTCTAACTTCAGGTGGCCCCAGTCGCCAGAAAATTCATTCTTCAGTCCTCCTGGCTAGTGTCTAATATGGGCAAACCCTGACCTCCCCGCCCGCGTTACCCAAATATACCCAACATCCCAGATTCCAGCATTGACATGGCAAGGTAAAAAGAGGAAAAAAAAAAAAAAAAAAGTAGGAAACTGCAAAACCAAAATCCAACCTTCAAATGAGTGAACCTCACTGACAGCAATTAAGTGCTCTAGCTAGGCTCTCTCAAATTAGGTACAAGGAAAAATTGATCAAAACAGCATTTCTCAAGAGCCAAGACACCTTTCACTGGCTGGCATACGGACTAAAAACAAGAAGAATGGGAATCTGTTGATTTTTTTTTAAGCCACTTAATTCCTATTTGAAAGCATTACCACCATTCACAAATATTTACTAACAGTCCATTACTTTCATCCCATTATACTAGGCAGGAAGATGTAATGGGAAAAAGCTCCTTTCTGAGTCTCAGATAATTGTCGGTACATAGAGGAATATTAAATTCAGGATCAAAAAACTAATTAAAAGCTAGCTCTTTTTTTTAACAGCGCAGAGGAGAACCGGATGATGGAAGGGACACTGGCTTTGAAGCCCGACAAACCCAGACTACATTTCCAACCCTGCCCCTAGAAGCTGTAAAGCGCAGTGATCTTCAGGAGGTAGTAATACCCCCGGGCTCCCGGAATGCGCTAGGAGAGGCCACTCACCTGCCCGCTGGGAAGTGGGAACACCGTAGACCACAGCCCTGACTCAGTCCAGCTCTCCACCTACCACGTACCCTCGCCCACCTCACCGGCATGCTGGACAGCTGGGGATCTACACTCACACTCCCTGCTTCCCCCCACCCTTACCAGCCTCACGGGGACTCAACCCTGCCCGGCAGTCACACAAGGTCTCCGGGCCACCTGCTCTCTCTGGAGGCTGGACAGACACATGGCAATCCTGCAGGAGCTCTAGGCCATCTGCTCTCCGCGGACGGTGGACAAATGCTTCTTACCGCTGCACTCCCACCTCCCAGCCTCACACTGGGCTGCTGACCTTGCTTCCTATGCCCCACGAGCCATGCAACGACAGCCCCCACGAGCCTCCTCCCCCACACCTGCCCACCCACCCGCATCCTTCCCCACCCGCCCCGCCTTGCTCCTGTTGCTATGACGGTTGGCACCTGCAGTGCCACGGAAGGTGTGTGTGTTGTGGGAGGTGGGGCAGGGGTCTGTGGGGGCAGGCCACCCCAGCGCGCGCAACATTTTTGTCACTGATACTGTTTAGTACCAGTGGCTCAGGGACATGAAAAAGCAAAAAAGCAGGCCAACATTTAAATGTCGTTACTGTTTTAAAATTCTCTAAAGACAACACAACCCTTGTGCCTACACCTGGGAAGACCGAACCCACAGCCCACCCTGGAAGGCCACTGGATACGTGGGACCTGCGTGCTTGGAACCCCAACCCCTCCCTCCAGTGACAGTGTTCCAGAAACTTCTGCTTCTCTCTCCAGACCACCAATTCTTCCCCTCTGCCACTTGCTGCATGCTTATCTTTCCTGTCTTAAAACAAAAATCTTTCTTGATCTCCACTCCCCTGCTCTCCCCCACCCCATTTTTCTCTTCCTTTTTGCTGCAAAACTCTCTGACCAGAGAGAAAGGCAGTGGGCCAGCCTGACGCTGCCCCAGTGAGGACAGAGCCCTTTGAGGCACTGAGGCCGCAGAACCAGGTCTCCCTCTGGACCCAAAGGAAGGCCTCCTCCGCGGACATGCAGGCGGAGTAACGACCCACGAGAGTTCCTCCCTACCAAACAACACCAGAAACAGAAATTTAACAAAGCAGTACATTGCTTCATCAATGAAAATCTCTCATGAATACTGCCAATCGATATTTTATTTTTCTCCAAGAAATGCTTTATTCCTAAGGAACCCTTCCCGTTCAAACACGAAGAGATTACAGAAACAATTCTTGTCTTTATATGAGGCCATGTTGTTTTTGACGTGCTTCCTGCTGACCCTACAACGACTCCACGATTTAGGCAAAACAGGGTTTGTAAAGCCCCTCCACGGGCAAGGAAACGGAGCCTGAAAGAGGAGAGCAGCTCGCCCGAGTCACGGCCGGCAGGGAGCAGGGAGCAGACTCTCGGGCACCTGCTTCCGACAGGAGCTGAGTGTGGCTACACACTGGCGCGGAGCTCCTTCAGGTTGGGCTAAAACGCCCACCGTGGTGGCCCACAGCGTCTGAATGACAAGCCCCGCCAAGAGCACAGCCCCCGCATCAGCCATCAGTTTCCTTTGTGCTCCTTCCAGCGTGTACTGGGCAGTGGCCATGAGTGGACCCCCCAGAGGCCCCCGTCACAGACAAAGCTCGGGCGTGCAGCCCTGGCTGCGTGGCGACAGGGACACGGCACACCCCAGCCACACTGAACGGTTTCTACAAAGCTACTTCCCAACAGACTCTACATGGTACCGACTTCTGTGATGCTCTTGGGAGAAAGGGAATCCAGTGACATTTAACAGAGCAGAACTTCCAGTGACCGCAGCATAAGTGTGAGGCTCAGGGACAGGCACACCAGTCCCTGTCTGGAGACCAGATTAATGAGACGGACGTCTGCATCTACGCATGACAAAGCACGGGAGGCCACTGTAAGTCAGGCAGCTGTTACCTGGCTATTCCACACCCCCTGAAGGCCGGGGTAGTACCTGGCCTTGGCCCACGCGCTTCCCATGCCCGTAGCTCGTTGGGTAGGCAGATGGAGACTAGACCCGGAGCTCCCAGGGGCGGGCATTAAGATAAAGACATGTGTGACCCAGGAGGACCATCACTTCACCGAGGGTGGGGGCAGCCGTGAGCCTGTGGGACCCAGGAGGCGGAGAGACTGGCCTCCCCCCCGGCCCCGGCCATGCGGCCAGGGAAGCAGTCAAGGTGGAATGCAGACCTACCAGACCCAGGCCCCCGGTCTCCGAGGTGCCACGTGGCCCTTCCCAGGTCAGCACTGGTAAGGGACACAGCCACGTAACTGCCAACAGGACCACACAACTACTCCCCCTGAGCTATGCCAGTGGGTGGGTGGTCTCTGTGTTGCCACCTGCCATGCAATCTTAGCTTTCTATGTTTTTTTCCCAGATTTTATTTTTAAGTAATCTCTACACCCAATGGGGCTCAAACTTACAACCCTGAGACCAAGAGTCACAGCGCTCCCACAACTGAGCCAGCCAGTCCCCCGATGCAATCTGGTATGTTTAAGGGCAGCTGGTTCTGGAAGTCGAGACAGAATACACAGTGTTCCCCCTTGAACATCATCTGTGACTGTCCCCAGACCGCCGACCGGGAGGTAACCCGGGCACTCTCTGGAGATGCCCATAAAGCAGGGTGTGAACAGCAAAATGCCAGAACAGGCAAACAAAGTGTCAGCTCAGGCTGCCTCCCCCAAATATTAGGAATTGTTATTCCACCAAAATAACAACAAAGGAGCTCTTTTCATTTTTTATAGGGGACTAATATGGAAAAATGTATCTTATACCCTGAAATATAATCATAATTATGTTGTCAGCTAATTCTGATAAAGATGCTATAATTTGGATACATTTTTAGGTCCAATTACTGTGCACTCATCCTCAACAAAAGGATTCAAAGAGAAAACCACATGTTCAATACAAGGAAAATCACAGAAGTTTGGAGTTTGAGTGTTCCATTTCTATGAACTATTTGCCAGTTTTCAACAGTTACTCTGTACTATTCAAGAGGATAATCTTAAAATAACTGCATAAACAAGTCCTCATTTCTGAACTCTGATTTGCAAATACTCCTGGCCAGGAAGAACTACATCCTGCCCATGACCTCTGACTTCCACCTGCTCACTACCGCCCTGCCGGGAGACCCAGAGATGGCGGAGCCTCAACTCCCTGAAGAAGGTCATGAAGGGGCTCGTAGGTCCTGGGAGATTGGTTAGGGCCCTTTGCCACTGGGAAGGGTCACTGGGGGCCAACAGGTCCTAGCCCTTCCTCTGTCAGCGGGCAGCACATGTGTCAGCTGAAGCTGGCCTGCTCCTGAGGGACCCCTCGCCCCCCAAAAAAGTCCCAGGCCCTTGGGTAAACAGGCAAAGAGGGTCGACTCAGCTTTGAGTGGATGCCACGCGCTCCACCCAGCTCACAGGATGGCCTGGCCCCAGCACACAAGCAAGGGCAGCCTTTCCCTTCTGTTGTTCTTTCTAAGTCCACCTCCTCTGGGAGGTCAAGGTGGGATAACCAGAGCAAGGCAGGATGCAGGCATTCCGGGTCTCCTGGCCCTATTAACAGAGCTGCTTCTTGTGACTGTTATCACTGATGACAAAAGTTACCGTAAGAATACATGCTCATCGTAAAACAGCTAAGTAACACGAAACCCCACAGAATAGAGACAGCCCCCTTATCATCCCCTCTAGAACAAGGGCATCACTGACCACTTTGGTGTGTATCCCTCTAGACCTTTTGCTGGGAGACAGGGAGACTGAGAAACCTCGTGTGCACCCACCCTTTCCCTCCCCTTGGGGGTCCCCCATGCCCTGGCCCCTCCACACCCCCTTCCCTGGGGTCCTCCTCCCAACACTGAGTTCAGCACATGAGCTGCCCTACAACAGCCAAAGCCCCCCCGCCAACCCTGCCGGCAAAGGCCAAGCCGGAAGCCAGGACTTCCACCCGACCCCGTGGTTAATGAAGCCCCCTTCCTACTCCCTGCTGGGCCGGGGTCAGAGGTGACCCAGTACAGAGTCAGGACTTTCTGTACCTCCTTACCACAGTGATGGAGGCACTCCTGCCCCTCCTAGTCAGAGCTAACATCACAGGGGCCGCAATG